ATTTTTGATGTTTGACAAAATAGTACTATTTTAACATACCGAGTTTTTTACAACTCAGCTTCGAGCCACATTTTGCACAAATTCTTCTTAAAACTAACTGGGCTAGCCGGGTTTCGGACTTCGGCACTTGCAATAAAAAGTCTAGTTCATTAACAACCAAGTCATTGAAATGTGCTTCAGGTCAGTGAGTCATCTACAACGTAGGACCAGGCACATATATGCATCGGTCCAAGTTGCCATACCTCGTTAGCACAACAAGATGAACACCGGATTCATAGTAGTTAATTTAGTGTTGGTAGTAGTATATAAATTATAGGTTGTATATAAGGATATAGTACAGAAAGAAGGAAGGATATGAAGCAAATTTAGTCTCAAGGTTTAAGGGAAGATAAAGAGTGTATACACCTGCGCCATTGTGATCGATTCTGAGCCATGTCACCTAGTCTCCAACCATTGGTTACGATAGTCACACGGACCCCAACCAAGTAGTCTGCATCTACCAACATGGCTCAGACTAGAAGTTAGTGACTTCAAACACTGATGCCATGTTTTGGTTTGGCCGCCCCTAACTCTCATCCAACCATCCCCAATACTAGTCATCATAGCACGTCGTGGTAATCGGTGTTCAGGCATACGTAACACATGGCCCAACCATCTCAGTCGATGAAGATTCATCACCTCATCAACTGATTTACCATCGTTCCCTAATACCCTGCGTCTAACCTCACTATTACTTACCCGGTTATCCCAGCAGATGCGAGCAATATTTCTAAGGCATCTGTGGTCAAATACTAGTAACCTACGAGTATCTTCTACTCTTAATGGCCATGTTTCACAGCCGTAGAGGGACTGATGCGCAGTATACTCCTTTAATTGATAGACGAATATCTCGTCTTCGCCATAGGTGACGTAAGTTGGCAAAAGCCAAACGAGCTTTTTGAATCCGTGCTGAGATTTTGTCAGACATCGACCCATTAGGGCTGATCAGACTTCCAAGATAAGTGAAGTTGTCGACGCGTTCGACTACTTCAATCCCTATCCTTAGTTCGGGTGTTGACGTAGGCCAGTCCTGTAGTAACAATTTACATTTGGATGGGGAGAAACGCATCCCAAACACCCTGGCATTATTACTGAGTTCCAACAGAAGACTGCATTTTGCCAGCGTCTTCACCAAATAGGACTATGTCATCTGCGTATTCTAAGTCGCTTAGTGGTCCCCCTCCTGTAAATTCAGTCGAAGAGAGTGTTATTTCCAGCAACATGTCTATAATGAAGTTAAACAAAAGTGGGGATAGTGGACAGCCTTGTCGGACACCACTTGAGGTTGTAAAATCATATGACAGTTCGCCATAAGCTCTCACTCGACTGGTAGTGTTCGAGTAAAGAGCCTTCACAAGGTTTATGTACTTCTCAGGTACACCTTTCAATGACAGACACTGCCACAGAACCTCTCGGTCTACAGAGTCAAATGCTGCTTTCAAGTCAAGAAAAACTATCATTGTCGGACGCCGATAAGCATGTCTGTGCTCTAAGACTTGACGAATGGTGAATATGTGGTCGATACAGCCACGACCAGGTCTGAAGCCAGCCTGATTTTCTCGTGTTTGCAGTTCACGAGTCTTAGTTAGGCGCCCGATAATTATTGAGGCTAGTATTGTAGATACTATGTTAGTCAGACTAACCCCTCTATGGTTATCACAGGATGATTTTGGCCCCTTCTTATATATTGGGACAATCAGAGATTGTGACCAGTCAGATGGGATTACGTCCGTCTCTCAGATTTTGGCCAGAATATTAGTCAACCTAATCGCTAAAACTGGACCACCATATTTAAAGACCTCTGGAGCCAATACGTCTGGACCAGCTGCTCTTCCTCGTTTCAGATTACCTATAGCCTTTTGAACTTCAAGTAGGGTCGGGGGGCCTACTTCAATGTTCCATTCAGGTTTTCTAGGAAAAGTGGGTAGTTGTGCATTATCTGAAGGTCAGCTAAACTGCTCCTTTAAGTGTTCCTCCCATCGTTCTAAACGTTTGGGTTGAGAGCAGATAAGGGTTCCGTCTTTTTCGGAGATTGTCTCACTTACACTTGACTTCTTAATTCCGGTTTCTTTTATTAGTCTGAATAGTTGCCTGGTGTTCCCTACAGCCGCTGCCTTTTCCATCTCTTTTGCTTTCGTTGCCCACCACTGCTCATGATCGTTCCTTAGACTTTTAGTTAACCTAGATCTAATTTCTTTACGCTCTTCGTCATGTTCAGAGCCTGATGGAATGAGTTTACGCGAATCCATCAGTGAAATCGACTTAGAAGAAATCCATTGGTTTTTTGGAGCCCTATGGTTTAAATGACTAATAGATGTTACTGCTGTTTCCACAGCTGTTCGTATGTCTTTCCAAGCAGCATCTGTGTCAGTCTCATTTACAGAACTGCCTAGATGTGAACTCAGTTGTTTCTGGAATTCGCATTTGGCTTTCTCGTCCTCCAGTTCAATCCTAATGGGTCTTCTTAGTGTAGTTTTCCTGCGTCCATTGAGGCGCAGACAAATGCGCGCTCGTATTAAAGCGTGATCAGAGTCTGAACAAGTATTCCAATACGAGCGACAATCTTCTATTGAGCCTCTCCAACGATGACTGATGACAATATGGTCTATTTGAGTCCATCGTTGGTTTGGTGCAGGTGGTCGCCATGTTAGACGATGTCTCTCCTTATGCTTAAAATTAGTGCTTGCTAAAAATAAACGATTTTCTGAACATAGTTGCAACAGACGATCACCATTATCGGTTCGTTGAGCCGGAATACTAAAACACCCACCTAAATGTCTTTCTGTTTGATTTAAGCTGCCTACCAGGGCATTAAAGTCACCCGCTACGACTACTATGTCTGAGCGCCTAGCTTTCTGAAGAAGCTCAGAGAGCTTTCTGTAAAAGTCATCTTTCACTTCATCATGGCTGCAGTCAGTGGGAGCGTAGGCAGAAACGACAAAAAGGCAACGACGTGTGTCCTTATCCTTCCGATTTCTTACGGAGCTATTTAACCGGACAGCACACAGGCGACTGTTAACGGTGATCCATTTTAATAGTGCCTGTTCTGCCCTTGTACTTAGTGCTATGCCTACACCTGCAAGTCCGCGAGAACTAGCCAACGGGTCGCCAGATACACGGAGGGTGTATTTCGTTGGCTGTCCATTTTGGCGAGGTGAGGTCAAATGAATGACCACACTGGGATCCTGTATGCGTGTTTCGGAGATACAGCATACATCAATGGTACGAGATTCTAGGGTTTTAGCTAAGGAGGCCTGTTGACCGATTTGGCATAGGGTACGTACGTTGAAGGCTCCAATGTGTAGTTTGGAGCGAGGTTCTAGTAGACCTGGGACAGCGTTTCGCGCACTAGAATCGTTGGCCATGGTGACACTTGAGGAGAAAACCGGAACAGGAAGTTTAGTGTTGAAAGTCAAGGTAGAAGGAATAGTAGGAATTGAAGAAGGAGATTGATTATGAATACAGTGGTCTTGAGTGCTGTTAGAGGTATGAGGGCAGTTATCACTTCCCGGTTGCCCACATCGTGGAAGGGTTCTTCTAGGGGTACCTGAAAAGGAAATTGGGTTAGAAGTGGTCTTAATGACCTGAGAGCGTGACCGCAGTGCCCAAGGGACAACTGCTTGAGGTCGGTCACACACGACCTTTTTGTGTTAGCTCCGTCCTTCAAAGGACCTTACCGCCGGAGACGGAAATCCGTGGGATAAGGCGAGGTGTGCATTTTTAGGGTCGACCTTTTCTAACCCCACCTCTCCTTGTGGGAAGGCAGCATCGCTGTCATGTTGGTTGTCTGAAGGAAACACCTTACTGCCGTCACACCTCTGTACAGTCGGCAGTACGACTTCGCCTTCGGACCTTGGGATTGCTGCTTTTAGTCTTACCGCTCTTCAACCGATCTGTCTGGCATGGTAGGACCTCTAGGAACGATTGTTCCAGCCAGCATAGCTCGATTGCTTCATCACTATAGGCAAGCCCGACCACCACGTCAAGGTAGCAGCAACGGTCGGGGTGCTTCATGTAAATTTGATTCTCCTGACTTCATGCATCGAAACTATTTGATTTGACAATGAACGTCGCGCACTGATCCTAGTTTAAAAACCCTCGTAAACTAAGGAGCACTGAACAACCGCATATAAACATTAATCCAAAAAGGGACCAAATATATATGCACTACGCTTTATCATTCGATTTGTTTGACGGCTGAAATACTACCCGGGTGCCCAAACCAAAGCATATGATTTCCTTAGATGGCTACACCCCGAGCATTTTGACCTAAACGTCTAATCCACAAGGCAGTGCGTCAACGTTAGGAGATGCAGTCCCATGGTGGCCGGTGACCAATAAAAGGTTCGTACTCCATTTGTTCCTTCAGGACCCTGGAGCCCATTTACACCGTTGGTTTGGAATCAGGGTTTTTTTCAACTCTTAGATGGGTCCTTCATAAACACCAACCTAGTTAAAGCGCGGAACATTCGCTTTTTGTCCTCTCGATTTCGTAAACAATACCCCCACACGAGAAGGCAGGGTAAGACTTCCCAATCAGAGGCTGTATACGTATGGCCATGTGAGAGCATTTCGCGAGGGAAAGCAAACTCTCCTCATCCTCAACTGTACCAGGGTATTTGAAAACACAGGAACACGACTCCATGTAAGTTGAGACCTAGGACCTTCGGCTCCCGCAGCGGAAGCCTAACTTCTTGGCTACTGAGACGTTATCCGGTGGTTTGCTTGTTTAGCTTCAATCGATTCGGGATATAGTCCAGCAATTTTTATTGGCTGCTTAATTAAGATACATACGTGATGTTAAGTATGGTATCAAATAGTCCTCACAACTACACTCCTATGTGGTAATAATTTATTTGGGTTGAATTAAACACATTAGTAATGTTTTCTGTAATATTTTACTATTTTAATCGACAAATCTTTGAATAAAATATTCATTAACGTCAAATTGCTTTTTACAGCTGGGAGCAATAGTGCGTCAGGCTTGGTCTGATCGAAACAAGAGTGTTTTTTGCATTCAAAGGCTGTATGGTGAATATAATCAGCTTTTAAATAACATAAACAAACACAGAGAAGACTTTGATTTAGCACCTTTGCAGAGTCTATACAAAACTCCAAAAGAAGTGTTGGAAAATCACAAGTAAGCCACATATATATCTCAAAAATTCAAAAACCTGAGTGTGGTTATCTTAGTAGTCATTTTATTTTGTTTTAAAAGGTAGGCTTAGTCATCTAGTTCGTGCATTCTATTTTCCAGGTCCAGCATACAGATGCCAGTAGCCATTTGCTGTGGCTATGTCTTGACATTCACTCACTCTCAGAAAATCAAAACTTTAAACATAAAGAAAGAAACTATTCGAACTGGCAACTGACAAATTCATCAGTAAATATTTATTATACTCTGACTGTTGCTTCTTTCGATTATATATTTAGACTCTGATCGTGCTTTACTTTAAGATCTTTTGTATCTACTCTTTAGTGGCGAGAAACACATTAAGCAAAAGCAACTCAACTTATCGTAAACGAGGGTTGGTAGCAAATGTTAACGATGTGGAAACATCAATTGTAAATAATAGTATGCAACTGTTTGATGCTATCAAGGGAAGTTGGCTTAAATGTCATTAATTAGTAAAAATATCTCATATAAATACAAATCAGTGATTGACTCTCAAAGCGGTTGATTGGATCGACACACGTAACACTGTGAACAAGTTCAGGTTGGCTTCAATGAACTTTTATTTACTCTCTATCCATCAGCAACCCTAGTAGAAGCTTGATTCCTCGCAAAGTTGAGTAACTTATAACCATTTTAGAGCGAGATGGGGCAGAAATCGGATTCGTTAAGCCTAGAGTTTTTGAGGATGTTGATCCATAGTTAGTTAAATTTATTAAATTATTAGATGAAACTCAATATTAATCATTAATCGTTCGAGTTCATAAAAACAAAGCAACAACAAATTGTTTCATACCTTCATTTCTACGACCTAATTATTTCTTCCTTATGTGCAACCTTTATCTACATTTACTACTGCCATTAAAGTAACGTCTTCTATGAATTTGGTGTTCATCCTGTTGTGGGAACTTGGACCGATGCATATACGTGCCTGGTTTCACGTTGTAGATGACTGACTTTCCCTACGGGCTTACAGATATTGCGAATAGATCTTACTTATTCGATTTCGCCGTAAGTGTTTGTACGTAAGCCGGTTATTTTACTACCTGTCTAGTTCACTAAGAAGAAGTATTTTGATGCCGTGGTTTTCTTGATCTACCTGTTTATGGCTTTTGTATCACTATTATGGTATTTGCAGCTGATCATCGTTTGCCATCACATTGCTATCAGTACGTTTTGATCAGTATCCAAACACAATTTTAATCATACATTTTCCTGTCATGATACACAACTTTCCCTTCAGGAATACCACCGTAAGGTAAAACAGCAACCAAAATGGGCCTTAAGGATCTTATCTACTCAGTTCAAGTCAAAATCAAGAATTATCGTGTGGAATGTTGATCACAAACAAATCCAGCATTACATTTGTATGTATCTGAGAGCAGGATTACTTTATTTCCGAAATCAGTTGTAAAAAACCTATGTAAATTTTCAACTTTTCAGGGACACCGCCAAGGTCATCTGTAGTGAAACAAATAGATCAGAAAACGAATCAATTAAAGGAAATCAAAGTCCAAAGCAGTCGGAGAACAGGTGTGAAGTGGAGTCAAAAATACGACAAGGTAAAAAAGCAAGTCACAAAAACACAAAGCCACAGCAAAACTCAAGCGTAAAAACAAGCAACGAAAATTTCAAGGAAATCCAATTTTCAAAAAGAGATCACGGCGACAGTCAGAGACCATTGCATCATTCTAATGAGATTCTTGTAGCGGATAATTTAATGCCATCTACCACAGAAATTGGAATTAGTAAGAATGGTAGTTTATTCTCATTTCACTTTTCATTAAGGTCATCATTTTTTGATAACCAGTTCAATTATTAGCTCTTATACGGCTAGCTATTTATTGAAAAAAACATATTGAATATTCGCTTAATTGAAGTAGCATCTAGGGCTCACAAAAACTAGTAAATGAGGGCTGTCATCATATCATCCCATGAAAACCGGGCATCTCCAGTCAATTCTGTCTTGGACGGTTATTTACAATTGTTGCCAAGTATTATTGATGATCTTCTTTCCCTAATTTCCTTCTCAACCGGCAGCTGATTTGTCCTCATCCAATGTAGGTTATTGCTAATAGTCTCTAGCCAATGGGTGTGGAGTACCTTTAGTCGCAAGCAGTTATAAAGACCTGTACTCTTCTGGTGATAGTGCTGGTAGTCTCAAGTTTTGGCCTCGCATAAAAGAAATGTTTTAGTGTTTGCGTTGAAAACCTTGGGTTTGGTGTTGAGTGACAGTTCTTTTGAGCTCAAGATATTCAGTTGTATGAATATCGTCTTCGCATGGCAATTAGTGTCTTCACATTTGCACCAAGTCCTCTATGTTTATCGATGATGCTGTCCAGATAGGCATCTAAAGGCTTCCACCTCTGTCAGAGCTTTGCCACCAAGTGTGACTTGGTTGGTGCTCATTGTTGAATTTCAGGGTCTCGATTCCTCCCTTGTGAATTTCAAAGTCTTTCTGTGAAGGCTGCTGTTGCTACACTGATAGACCGCGTTCATGGGGCAACACGGTCAAATAATCTTCAAAGTGCAAATCGTCCAGTTGCGTCCAACGTACCTTACTGTAATCCGTCCCCTTCCTGAAAAGCGGAGGTCTTCATAATGCAGCCAACAACCAGAAGAAAGATGTAAAACGAGAGTAAGCACTTGGAATGGATCGGTGAGCTTCCTTGCATGCAAGACTTCAACCGGCCCCCCGTAAAAGCTCTGTATGGTGGTGACGATTTCAGGTACTCCGTAATGTCAGAGAAGGCTCCACAGGGTTCTCTTATCCATGCTGTCGAATGCTTTCTCATAGTCAAGGAAGTTGATGTATGGTGACGAGCTTCATTCAAGTGATTGTTCAACAGTAATCCACAGTGTCGCTTTATAGTCGGCACATGACCAATCCTTACGGAAGCCAGGTTGTTGAGTGTCTACAGAATCTCTCACTTGGGTCGATAATATCCTGTCAATAACTGTGCCTAGTACTAACGGAAGTGTGATTCTTCCGCGGGTTTCAGAATTGTTACTTATTTTTAAGATTAACCAACTTCATATTTAGGCTGTTTTAAATGGATTTCCCGGTGCATCATCCTGGACCATAAAAAAGTAAGCGTTCTGGGACCAAAGCATGATCACACTTCAGATGTGTTCAAGAAAGAGCGGTAGTCTGATAGCAATTACTTTTTTACGCCCTTGAGCAATTGTTGAAATCGCTGTCAGGTAATGTTGATTCTCAATGTCATAGTTGGTTCTTACTAAGAATTTGTTACGTCGCAAATTTATTGCGTATTGCGATAGGACTACACGAAATTTTACCGATTGGCCAAATCCAGATATCCTAGTACGACCCCAATACTGTTCCCCGACTCCAATAAATCAGAACACAGCCGTTAAATGAGAATTGTTTATGGGGTCAGAAGCAGATCAAATATGACTTACAGACAAGGCATATTTATACAGTTAAGATGACAATGAACAGTAACCAATGGAAAGAAAGGACACGTAAAGGTTATAATTATGACAACTCAAAATTAAACAATAGGAAAACGACATGTGAAAGTCATAGTTAGGACAACTGTAAATAATGACCAATAGGAAAAAATATGTGGAAAGTCCGAAAACATACCACTTTACGTTCAAGATAATTTTTGGGATATTCCTGTGAATATCCTAACAGAATTAATGGTCGCCTGTGTATACGTGCATCACGCGATCGCCGTTTTGTGTTCGCTGCTCTGGTGTCCACCAGTGTCTTTATCTAGGTTTTGCTAAAATCACTATCTATGATTATTGTGTCTGGGTGTCAATTTTTTGTGAAAACAGCGAACTCCCTGTAAATTAGTTTAATCATTTCATCAAAACTGTCATCCGTGAAAGCCTAAACAAAAACTATGCGTGATCTGACTTCTCGCTTCTGTTTGATTGAACACCTAATATATGACTGTCGAGATGAATTCATTCTGGCAGAGCTTGTCCTATTTTCTATATCCTTTTACTCACGTGAAGAAAACGCAGGAAGCACTCAAATGACCAGATATCTGAATGATACCTCTAGACTTTATTGCTATTTAACCAACCTGCTTGGTATAACAGAACCTCAGAAATGAGTGCTTCAGCCAGTGAAGCTCTACTGGGCCATTACGGTGGGGTAGTGGTACGGTAATAGCTACGTTCGGAAATTTTTTTACGTATTACTAGTTCACATGTGTTGTAAATGTTCTGTAGGAATACAATCTTCAAGATTGATAATATACAGAAATTGAAGTCAAGATTTATCAGTCTTGTTGTTAATCTCATTTTGTTTTTATTTTCCACTAGACAGTGAAGTACTTAATGATGACTTTTCTTTTAACGAAGAAAAAAATAAGCGTGAAGGGGACGTGCACAATCTTAATTTTAGCGTTTCACCGTGGCCAAATAACGAACATTTCCAGGTTAACTTTTGCAGATATACAAGTTTGTCTGATTGTAATCTAGACCATATCAGTTCAGAATCTCCATCAACCTCCCTACATAATCAGGTCAAGTCAGTTAGTCTAGATTTTAGTGAGTCATTGCTCAATACAAGCGAATCTCAGTTGATTGCACAATGTCCACCCATGAAAACATGTCAAGCGTGTCAACAGTTGATTCATCGAAACGCTCCAATATGCCCACTATGTAAAACTAAAAGCAGATCAAGGAATCCAAAAAAGCTAAAATCACGTCCGGTTATTCAGGTTACAGATATGCCAAATTCATCAACAGGTGTCTCTTTAGCGTTGCGTCTGACACATGATCACAATGAGTAAAACAATCAATTCACCGGTCGGCTAACTGTTCATCTTACATAGCGGTTTTACTTTTGAAACTTCAGTTTATACGTGTAATAAAAATCATAATCTTTGCCAATACGTTCATGGTGGTTTTAATGGTTGTTTATATATATATATATATATATATATATATATATATATATATATATATATATATATATATATATATATATATAATTGCTTTCTGTGCATTTTGAATATTAACCCACCAAAAACAAAATTGCCTCGTTAATACGTTAAAAGCTTTATAATCATGTGTCCGAAAATTTCATACATATAACCACTCTGCAACTAGTATACGCGACCTTTAATTTTATTTAAAGATACAGTGACGAGGTTTTGGACAAGTATCGGTCTATTATGCTTTTCTAAATGGGATGACGTAGTTGACTGTTTTAATTTATACTTTCGGGGATGGAGCCAACGATTTTCTCCAATATTTGACTTCCTCCATGGGATACTAATCAAAATCACCACAGATTTGTTTAGCGATTTCAGCATTCGGACATCGATAGTTAGCTCAAAACGCATCCCACCTAATAATTTAATAGTTTTTTTAACCATCATACGAGTATAGCTCAAACTCTAATACACTAGCTTTTAATTAGTCAGTAATCTCAGCACACAGTAGTCTGCTAACTACAAGATAATTATTTTGGGACAGTCGCAACATCGGTTCTTACTATAGTGCATCAGTTCAAGTAGTCATATTTTAAGCGTACAAAGGAAGACTGATGTGTCGGTGAGAATGATAATGCTTGGTTGTTTCGCTGAGTAAGACATGTAGATAGTGTGACAGGTGTTATATATATTTCCCTATCCTTAATATGTATTGACTGTTCCTTGTTGTTGGATTGTGTCGGGTTTTGGTGTGGAAATATATTGACGTGATAGTCAGGCTAATCTCGTGTTCTTGAACTGAGTTGTGTTGAAGTCCTGTAGAATAAACACTGGGAGGGAATCTAGTGTAGATATTCGTCTAAGGAAAATTAACGCCCCACATACGTGTAAAAAGTGAAAAGACTGTTATAACAAGAAACCCTAGAGTTATAACAGGTATCCTACAGTGTATAACAAAGACAACAAAAAATATCCACATTTGTATCAGCAGATCGCCACCACACAGTCAATGCGTTACAAAACAAACAAAAAACTAGAACCCCTTTAGGCTTTTCATAATTTCTGGGGAGTTAGCATAGTTTATAGTCGTGGGACTTCGTTCTTCAACCTATCACATAACCAGGTTAGCTTTTAAGAATTATCTGATATCTATTAGATATGAGATTCAACCTAAGGATCCTAAGACTTTGACCTAGACCCCTACATCTTACCTGCCTACTACTAACTGATTGAGTCTTTAGATTGATTAGTTCAAGAAAGGTAAGTGAAATTACGCATTATTAGTCGAACATACTTCGGATGATAATTACTACAATAATTCATGCCTAAAATGTAAGTTCATCTTTTAGTTCAAGAATATACCGAAAACTGACGTTTCTTATCTTAGTGTGGTCAGCAGGTTTGAAATCAAGGATGTTCGCTATTCTTCAGTCCCAGTAGGTGTTTAAGTTTTATGAACCTTGTGGTCTTGAAGACTAGTAGTCAAAATAATTCTTTATCAGGAGCATCATATCTAAAAACCTGAATGGTTATTGGTTCATACTAGTTCTGTTACCTTAGTTTAATGGTTGTCTTAACTAGCAATTCCTGACTATTACTCTTCGGGTGTTGATCATTCTAATTAGGGTTTAGTGATATCTCGGGTTTTTATTAATATATAATTGCAATTTACCAACTGTTTAGAGATCAAATAGAATATTTCTTGATATTTTTCTATCATCTAGAGGTTGATGTAGTAATAGTTAAAGCGTCAAGGGAATTTTAACATATCCTTAAGTCTATTCCTCTCTTTGAGTTAGCCAATTAGTGCCTTTTTTGAAGTGACGATGTAACCAGGACTGTCTATTTAGTTTCTTAAACCAAGATTTAAGTATGCTAATTGTTTGTGACATCGAATCGAAATATATGAGTATACAGGTGGGGGAAAGCAGATATTTTCCCAACCCTTTAAATAGATCAGAAGCGACTAACAATACTAAATGAATTTTAACTAGGATTCTGTCTAGGAGCATGTCTTATCTTTCAAAATGAGGCTATTTCGATACTCAAGAGTCAGCAGCGCCAACTGGTTTAATTGGTTACATGAGATAAGGTAAGTTAATACAAAAACCATTTAACCTGACAAATCAATACCGACTAACTCAACATGGGGTTGTGACGTTGGATTGTGTGATATCCAACTATCTGAAGCGAAGAAAACTAGAAATACAAATCCTGGTAACAGAAAGGCTTACGGCCTGATTTTGGTTGCGTTTCGTTTCGAATAATTTAGAAAATTAAAGTGTAGATAAGAACTTTGATTTTCTTATTTAGTATCAGCAAAGCAGTTTTACGATTCCAACAAATGTTGACTCGTATAGTCCTTATATCTGAAGTTAATATTATTGTTCCCTCAGGTTCATCTTCACATCGGTTGTGTTTGAATGTGCATACTTGTACCCTCTAGTTTGACTTGACTAGGGTCATACGGAGTTCCTTTAAAAGGCGAACCTTCCTTGTTCCAAGCATGTGCAAGTATGTTTTGCATTTTCTGGAATAAGTAGAGAAGAAAACGATATGGTCAAGACTCATATATGCATATACACCGATTTTATATTTTTTTAAAGGCTTCTTATGACTTCGAATTCTTAAAATAGGGGAATTTTTAATTTTAACAGAGGTATACTTATAATGTAACATGTACGAAGAATGATCGTTTATTTTCCAATAATTGACAAGTTCTGGATGGTCTAAGCAGTGATGAGCTGTGCATAGTTGCCATACATTTGATCTCATAAATATTTACAAAGCAATGTTTATGGATGAACAGAAGATGGCGTCTCAGACGGAATACAAATTAGAACATTACACCTCAAAGTCTATATAACTTGATATTCAAGTCGATAAAGATGAGATGATAATAGAATCAACACTTACTTCTTGCTCGATGGTAGGTAGTCCCTGGCGCTTGCGCTGCTCATCATACATTAACTGTTGGATTTTAGCCTGCGCCTCATCGTCTAGTTCGTGCATAGGCCGAGAGCAATCAATTTTCCGAGTGTTTAGTTTGTCTTCTCCATCAAAAGCTGCCTCCCACCACCGTTCCTGAATCTTGTCAAGACACAGCTGGATCTTGAGTTTAAAAAATAATGATTTGAGCATACAGTTGTTACAGCAGTTATTTCACGTAATATTAATACGATATAATAAGGCGTTTGAATTATACTCAAAAATAAACATAAGATATCAAAGCAACCGAAAACAACAGTAGCATCTATCACTGGCTGAAATCAAAAAGTTAGGGAAACCTAGTGGCCAGTCAGTCAGCTACAGAGTAGGACAAAGCACATATAAGTATCGGTTCAAGTTGACATACCTCATTAGCATAACAAGATGAACACCAAATGAAGAGTAGTTAATTTCATGGTGGTAATATATAAAAGAAAGATTGTATATAAGGATATAGTACAGAAAGAAGGAAGGATATGAAGCAAATTTAATCTCATAATCTAAGGGAAGACAGAAAGTGTATACACCTACGCCATTGTAATCGATTCTGAGCCATGTCACCTAGTCTCCAACCATTGGTTACGATAGTCACACGGACCCCAACCAAGTAGTCTGCATCTACCAACATGGCTCAGACTAGAAGTTAGTGACTTCAAACACTGATGCCATGTTTTGGTTTGGCCGCCCCTAACTCTCATCCAACCATCCCCAATACTAGTCATCATAGCACGTCGTGGTAATCGGTGTTCAGGCATACGTAACACGTGGCCCAACCATCTCAGTCACTGAAGATTCACAACCTCATCAACTGATTTAACATCATTCCCTAATACACTGAGTCTAACTCCACTATTACTTACCTGATGATCCCGGCAGATGCGAGCAATATTTCTAAGACATCTGTGATCAAATACTAGTAACTTACAAGTATATTCTACTCTTAGTGGTCACGTTTCGCAGCCGTAGAGTAGAACAGAGCGAACTGTTGCGCAGTATACTCGTCCCTTAATTGATAGACGGGTATCTCGCCTTCGCCATAGGTGACGTAAATTGGGAAAAGCCAGACGAGCTTTTTAAATCGGTGCTGAGATTTTGCCAGACACCAACCCATTAGGGCTGATCAGACTTCCAAGATAAGTGAAGTTGTCGACGCGTTCGACTACTTCACTCCCTATCCTTGGTTCCGGTGTTGATGCAGGCCAGTCCTGGAGCAACAATTTACATCTAGAGGGAGAGAACATCCTTGTATTGTTCTTCAGTGTTACCGAAAGAGTCTGCATCTTGTCAGCGTCTTTAGCCTCTGCCAGGGAAGTCCTACTCACTGCCTTCTCGTGGCGGGGGTGGTGTTCACAAAAGTGAGAGGACGAAAAGCGAATGTCCGGCGCTATAACCGGATTGGTGGACACGGAGGGTCCACCTAGGGGAGTTGGAAAACCCTGATTCCAAACCAATGGTGCACATGGGCTCCAGTATCCTGATGGAACGAATGGCGGAAGAACCTGCTGTTGGTCAACGGCAACCATGGGACTGCATCTCCTCACGATGCTCCACTGCCTTGTGGATCAGACCTTTAGGTCAAAGGCTCGGGGTGTGGTCCCCTAAGAAAACCACCTGCTTCGGTTTGGGCACCAGGGCAGTATCACAGCCCACACACAAACAAATGAATGAAATTATGAACTCTATTGACGATATCCCTGGTCATACTAAAAGCAAGACAATTAACATTATTATTATTATTACCTTTATTATTATTATTACTTACCATATCGCTAATTCACCCCCTTTTATCCCCAATTTGTGTAACCTTACTCTTCAACTTATGCAGCAGCTCGCTCTTGGTGGAAAATCTGTCCTATCTAAACGATCTCCAGTCACTGTCTGGTTGAAAGTGAATGCTTCCACCGATTATGAATACTGAAGCAGTCTTTCTGAAACCACGTACGCCGTTCAAGCTGGCTTCCTTCAACGTTCGCACACTAATGCAGATCAGACAACAGATAGGGCTGGCTATGTCTTTGGAAGGTCTTAATGTTGACGTTTGTTGTCTATCCGAGACCCGTATTCAAGACTCTAGTGAAGTACTACAAATCCGCTCTCCATCTGTCGCCTCGAAAAGCTTGTTCCACGTGCGCTTATCCGGGGACCCTGTGGCATCTTCGTCTGGTCTTGCTGGCGTTGGTGTCGCACTAAGCGCTAGAGCTGAGGCAGCACTAATCGATTGGATCCCCATTAACAGTCGGTTATGTGCTGTTAGATTAGAAAGTTCCATCAAAGTGAGAAATCGGCGTGAGAAACGGTGTCTTTTCGTCATCTCCGCCTATGCCCCGACAGATTGCAGCCCGGATGCAATCAAGGATGAGTTTTACCATCAGTTAACAGTTCTTCTCCAGAAAGCGCGTTCGACAGATATTGTAGTACTAGCCGGAGACTTGAATGCACAGGTCGGGCGTCTAGGCACAGAAGAGAGTCGTCTAGGTGGCCGATGGGGACTTGTTGGTCGCAGGACAGATAACGGGGACCGTTTGCTGCAACTGTGCACAGACCACAACCTGTTTCTGGCCAGCACTAACTTCCGGCACAGTCATCGCCGGTGTGGCACCTGGCGTCCTCCCTCTGCATCCCAAGCCTGGACTCAGATTGATCACATCGCGATCAGCTACCGCTGGCGTGGTTGTGTACAAGACTGCCGCTCCTTTTGGAGTACCTATCTGGAGTCTGATCATGCCCTGGTCTGCGCCAATCTCACCTTACTTTTCAGTGGCCGAAGGATTGACCACCACCAACGGATTGATATTAGTAAACTGGCTGCAACTTCTGTTGCAAGTAAGTATCGAGCTGAGCTAGCCTCTAGGCTAGCTACCATCCCACCGAAAAGTATAGACGAGCATTGGTTGCATCTTCACGACGCCATGAAAATGGCGAGTAAAGCCGCTTGCGGCTTCGCGAAACGTCCCGCTTACAAGCACTGGGTTTCTTCTGGCTCCTTACAACTGATGGAAGCCCGTCGGTCTACTCCGGGTGACCGTGAGTTTGACCACAAACGAAGGCTGTTACGTAATGAAATCGGGCAAAGCTTGTGTAAGCACCGGGAAGCCTGGTGGTCGGAGCGTGCTAATGAGATGGAAGCAGCAGCTGCATCTGGTAACTGCCGGAAGCTCTTCCAACTCATCCGAGCCACTGGCAGCAAGAAGTCTGGTGTGAGTGAAACAATCTACGAGGATGACGGGATGCCAATCACTAACATCTGTCGACGTCTTGGACGATGGGCGGAATTTTTCGAAGGGCAGTTCAACTGGCCTGCTGCTCCGGCAACATCAACCAGCTTGTCCTGCTCCCCATGGCCGGTGACGACTGATCCACCAAACGAGGCGGAAGTCCGCAAGGAACTCCAACTCTTGAAACGTTATAAATCACCTGGCCCAGATGACTTACCTCCGGCTCTTTCTAAAGATGGTGGTGACTTTCTGGCTAAGGAACTGACTGCGTTGTTTGGAAAGGTTTGGGAGCAAGAAAGTGTTCCAACATCTTGGAATGAGTCAATAGTCGTCCCTATCTTTAAAAAGGGTTCACGTTGTTCCTGTAGCAACTATCGGGGGATAAGTCTACTTTCGATCGCGTCCAAACTATTGGCTTCTATCATTCTTCGTAGGTTGTTTAAAACCCGAGAACGATTGACTCGCGAGGAGCAGGCTGGTTTTCGTTCTGGTCGATGATGCATTGATCACATCTTCACCCTCCGCCAAATCTTAGAACACCGTCATACTTATCGCAGGCCAACAATCGTAGTGCTTCTTGATATCAGGGCGGCCTTCGATTCGTTGGACAGGACTGTTCTCTGGGATTGTCTATTGAAGAAGGGTGTGCCTGAGAAGTTCATTAACATCTTAAAGGCCCTGTATACGAACACCTCAGGCAGAGTGAGGGCATACAACCACCTTTCTCCCTTGTTCCATTCGAGCAGTGGGGTTAGGCAGGGTTGCCCGATCTCCCCATTCCTCTTCAACTTTGCCATCGACGACATCCTAGAAACAGCTCTGATGGATGTAAGTAATGGCGGTGTGGATATGTTGCCTGGAGAACGACTTCTCGACCTTGAGTATGCGGATGATATTGTCTTACTGTGCGATAATGCCCAAGGCATGCAATCAGCACTTAATCAGTTGGCAATCAGTGTCCGCAGGTACGGCATGTGCTTTGCACCCTCCAAGTGCAAAGTACTTCTACAAGACTGGCAGGATTCTCATCCTGTACTCACCCTGGATGGTGAGGAGATCGAAGTAGTTGAGAAGTTCGGGTATCTAGGTAGCTATATAAGTGCTGGTGGTGGCGTGAGTGATGAGATTGATGCACGTATAATGAAAGCCAGAGCGGCTTATGCCAATCTGGGCCATCTTTGGCGCCTTCGTGATGTTAGTCTGGCTGTAAAAGGTCGGATCTACAACACGTCGGTGAGAGCAGTTTTGCTCTATGCTTGTGAAACCTGGCCTCTCCGAGTTGAGGATGTTAGACGTCTCTCTGTGTTCGATCATCGTTGTCTCCGAAGGATTGCTGACATCCAGTGGCAACACCATGTTAGTAATGCAGAGGTTCGGCATCGTGTGTTCGGGCGCAGAGACGATAATTCAATTGGTGTCACCATCTTGAAACACCGACTTCGGTGGCTCGGACATGTTTTACGAATGTCGTCCCAGAGACTTCCGCGTCGTGCATTATTTGCCGACCCTGGGACTGGTTGGAGAAAGCGGAGAGGAGGTCAGTGTATGACATGGTGTCGTGGCATGAAAGAGAGCTGCAAAGGGCTAGCTTCTGTTGGTCCTTCACGACTCCCTGGTTGGGGTCCGAGAGATAGTGCAACACAGTGGCTAGAGACGTTATCGGATATGGCTCAGAATAGAAGCCAGTGGCGATCCTGCTGCAACCTTCTTTTACTTTCTACATAAAGAATGGTTCTAACTTTCCTAACTGAAAGAATCTTCTGGTTGTACATTTCAGCCCGCCTTATCTTTTCATCCTTTATCTACCTACTTTCATTATTTGTGTGGCGCATATGTACCTGGTGCCCTTTTGTACCAATATATATGTGTTTAAATAAATAAATAAAATAAATATGTCATCTGCGTATTCTAAGTCGATAAGTGAACTTCCTGGTAGGAGGTCAATACCCAAAAATTCATTCGATGAGAGCGTTATTTCCAGCAGTAGGTCTATGATGAATTTAAGCAAAAGTGGGGATAGTGGACAGGCTTGTCGAACACCACTTGAGGTTGTAAAATCAAATGACAGTTCGCCATAAGCTCTGACTCGAGTAGTAGTTTTCGAATAAAGAGCCCTCACAAGGTTTATGTACTTATGTTTATTTATTTATTTATTTAAACACATAAATATTGGTACAAGGAAGCACCAGATAAATATGCGCCTCACAAATCTTATTCGATTTGTGTGAGGGCTGTGATACTGCCCAGGTGCCCAGGCTGAAGCAGGTGGTTTTCTTAGGGGCTCACACCCGGAGCCTTTGACCTAAAGGTCTAGTCCACAAGGCAGTGGAGCATCGTAAGGAGATACAATCCCATGGTAGCCGGTGACCACAGTTGGTTCATACGCCATTCGTTCCTTCAGGATACTGGAGCCCATGTGCACCATTGGCTTGGAATCAAGGTTTTCCAACTCCCCTAGGTGGATCATCCACATCCACCAACCCGGTTAAAGCGCCGCACATTCGCTTTTCGTCCTCTCACTTTTGTGAACACCACCCCCGCCACGAGAAGGCAGTGAGTAGGACTTCCCTGGCAGAGGCTACATATTCGCGTGGCCATATGAAAGCATTTCGAGAGGGAGAGCAGACTCTCAGTTTCAGCCCTATTGTGATCATCAACAAACTGAAAAATCGTGAATAAGACGGAACGAACATTTTAAATTCCACTGTTAGCCACAATCCAAATACATTAAAAATTCATCATTAAAATGCTACTATATCGAGACAGTTCATTCAAGATCCAAGTATGCTAACAGATTGATCGAATTTCAGTTCTGAATATACGTGAACACAATGACAGACACTGCCACAGAACCTTTCGGTCTACAGAGTCAAATGCTGCTTTCAAGTCAAGAAAAACTATCATTGACGAACGCCGATAAACATGTTTGTGCTCTAAAACCTGACGAATAGTGAATATGTGGTCGATACAGCCACGACCACGTCTGAAGCCAGCCTGATTTTCCTGCATTTGTAGTCCACGAGTCTTAGTTAGGCGCCTGATAATTATTGAGGCTAGTATTTTAGATGCTATGTTAGTCAGACTAATCCCTCTATGGTTATCACAGGATGATTTTGGCCCCTTCTTATATATTGGGACAATAAGTGATTGTGACTAGGCAGATGGAATTACGTCCAACTCCCAGATTTTAGCTAAAATATCGGTCAACCTGATCGTGAAAATTGGTCCACTATATTTAAAGACATCTGGAGTCAATCCATCTGGACCAACTGCTTTCCCCCGTTTCAGATCAGCTATAGCCTTCTGAACTTCAGCTAGATTCGGGGGACCTACTTCAATGTTCCATTCAGGTTTTCTGGGAATAGTGGGTAGTTCTACAGTGGCTGAAGGTTAGCTGAACTGTTCCTTTAAGTGTTCCTCCCATCGTTCTAAACGTTTGGGTTGAGAGCAGATAAGGGTTCCGTCTTTTTCGGAGATTGTCTCACTTACACTTGACTTCTTAATTCCGGTTTCTTTTATTAGTCTGAATAGTTGCCTGGTGTTCCCTACAGCCGCTGCCTTTTCCATCTCTTTTGCTTTCTTTACCCACTACTGCTCATGATCGTTCCTTAGAATTTCGGTTAACCTAGATCTGATTTTCTTTCGCTCTTCGTCGTGTTCAGAGCCTGATGGGACGAGTTTACGAGAATCCATCATTGAAGTACACTTTGAAAAAATTCATTGATTTTTTTGGAACCCTTTGGTTTAAATTACTAATAGATGTTACTGCTGTTTCCAAAGCTGTTCGTATATCTTTCAAAGCAGCATCTGGGTCAGCCTCGTCTACAGAACTGCCTAGTTGTGAACTCAGTTGTTTTTGGAACATACTTTTGGCTTTCTCGTCCCCCAATTCAATTCTAATGGGTCTTCTTAGTGTAGTTTTCCTGCGTCCATTGAGGCGCAGACAAATGTGTGCTCGTATTAAAGCATGATCAGAGTCTAAACATGTATTACAGAGCGAGCGACAGTCTTCCATCGACCCTCTCCAACGATGACTGATGACAATATGGTCTATTTGAGTCCATCGTTGGTTTGGTGCAGGTGGTCGCCATGTTAGACGATGTCTCTCCTTATGTTTAAAATTAGTGCTTGCTAAAAATAAACGATTGTCTGAGCATAGTTGCAACAGACGATCACCATCATCGGTTCGTTGAGCCGGAATACTAAAACACCCACCTAAATGTCTTTCTGTTTGATTTAAGCTGCCTAATCGGGTATTAAACTCACCCGCTACGAGTACTATCTCTGAGCGCTTAGCTTTCTGTAAAAGTCATCTTTCACTTCATCATGGCTGCAGTCAGTGGGAGCGTAGGCAGAAACGACGAAAAGGCAACGACGTGTGTCCCTATCATTCCGAGTTCTTACGGGGCCATTTAGCCGAACAGCACATAGGCAACTGTGAACGGGTATGCATTCTAATAGTGCTTGTTCTGCCCTCATACTTAGTGTTACGCCTACACCCGCCAGTCCACGAGAATTTGTCATCGGGTTGCCAGATAAACGAAGGGTGTATCTTGTCGGTTCCCCGTTTCGGCCAGGTCAGGTCAAATGAATGACCATACTAGGATCCTGTATGTGTTTTTCGAAGACATAGCATACACCAATGACACGAGATTCTAGAATCTTAGTCAAGAACATTTGCTGGCTGATTTGGTATAGATTGCGTATGTTGAAGGCTCCAATGTGTAGTTTGGAGCGAGGTTTCAGTAGATATGAGACAGTATTTCGCGTATGAGGAGCGTTGATCATGGTGAGACTTGCGGACAAAGTCGGAGGAGGAAGTTTAGTGGTGAAAGTTGAGGTGGGAGGAACAGTAGAAATTGGAGAGAGAAACTGATTATGAATGCAGTAGTCTTGGGTGCTTATGGAGGTATGAGGTCGGTTACCACTTCCAGGTTGCCCATACCGTGAAAGGGTTCTTTTAGAGGTAACTGAAAAGGAAATTAGGTTAGAATTGGTCTTGGTGACCCGAGAACGTGAACGCAGTGTCCAAGGGACAACTACTTGAGGCCGGTCACACACCACTTTTTCGTGTTAGCTCCATACCTTTTGAGACCTTACCACCGGAGACGGAAATCCGTGGGATAACGCGAGGTGTTCATTTTTAGTGTCCACCTTTTCTAACCCCACTCCTCCTTAGTGAGGAGAGGGCATCACTGTAGATGCCAATTATCTGAGGGAAACATCTTACGCCCGTAACAACTCTGTATAGTCAACAGTACGACCTCGTCCTCGGACCTTGTGTCTGTTGCTTTTAGTTTTACCACTCTTCAACCAACATGCCTGGCATGGTAGGACCTTGAGGAGCGATTATTCCAGCCAATGTAGCCCGATCGATTTATCAAGATAGGCAAGCCCGACCACTTCGTCAAGGCATCAGCAACAGTCAGTTAAAATAAATTTACTTACTCTGAAAAAGTGGCTTACATTAAATCACGAAACGTCGGAAACACAGTTTATCTACTCGTTGGGATATAACGGAAAAAATATTTACTAAATCTTGGTAGTTCTTGCGTTAACTGTCTAACTAGTTAACACGTATATACTAGGACAAAAAACATTCGTATACCGAATGTGATAGACATATGGGCACCCGCAAATGCATCAATAAATGTAAGACTAATGAGGTTGTTTTTATATAGATTCATTTTTAGAACAATTAGCAATAGTAAAAGTCGCGCGATCATAAAAATAAAATGTATAAGCAGTGAACTGATTACTAACTTGATTTTCTTTAGAGTGGAAGGTCCAGATAGCATCATTCTTGTGAATCTCCCAACACAGATCTCCATCGAAACAAAAAATCTCTTTTTTGTCTTTTTGAACTGAAACATGAATATGTTTGCGTTCAATATTTACAGAAACATTGCGAGCATCCACGTTTTCTGGTATCTGAATGCAATAAAAAGTTATTTAAATTAAGAGCACAAAAACCTTAATTTTAATATCAATATCCTTGATAGTTTGGCTCCATGTGTAATTATCTCTAATGGCTCCGTTGTAGCAATCGGGATCTGCCTGATAGACTTTTAATTCATCATTCCTAGTTATTGGAAATAAACTTTATTTACAAACATACTCTTCACTTTTGGATGTTAAGTTTTTAACGCTTGATGGACACCCAGATACATTTTTATCCTCGTTTGAAGGTAAGACAGTGACATTTGGCTGCTTTGGTTCTTCTTTGATGACTGATTCTACAATTTCTGAAAATGAACTAGGAAAGGGACTTACTGACTGATTGGTTGGTGTCTATCTGACGATGACGCTGGTAACCCTCAAATATTGTCTTATATTTCTCGTAAGCCTGGAAAATATTTTAATATGACAACACACCTTAAGAATCATTTCGATGCTCACACCAGGTGGGAAACCTATTTTTTTTTGTCCTGGTGTCATAATATAGAAAAAGTCCGTCCTGAAGACAATTAGGATCCTGTGTTACATCAGATACCTGCGCATTAAAAACCCGAATATCACGTCTAAAAAATTCTCTAATTTCCCTTCGTTTTGGAGAATACCCAGTAGCGCGTTATCGTATTGAATATTTACGTTAGTCATTTTAGACGTAACGGGCTATAAGGGAAATAAATATTACTAAGATGTGTCGTCAGATAACTTTTCTTTTAGAAAATGGAATTACGAGAATTTAGACGAGAGCATATCTATAATCATGTCCATGACAAAGGTGATCAAAAATGAGGATATCAGACAACTATTATGAGCGCTGATGAGAGAGAGAATAGTATGAGCAGTTCTATGAATGGGTATGTAGAACAGTTCCAGATTCGATTTGTAGACTACAGCATCTAATACGTCTAAATTTATAGCTAGGCTAATGGCTGGTAATGAATATCTTAAATGTGGTGTGCAGAATAAGCCATGGGACGAACTATCTCAGTTTACAAAACTCAATCATTCCAAGAGTGATAGGACTGCTATGCTTATAGCTTTGATCCAAACCCACATATGAAGTCTTTAATGAAAGTTCGAATATAATAGCCAGTGCATGGCACCAAAATGTCCTAATAACTCAAAAAACTAAACTATAGTTTAGTGGAATATGGTTCAAATGGTTGAGGACGGAATAGAAGAAGCTTTCGCATAACGGGCTTCCGTCCTTAAGAATAAGTCAAGTTTTCTCTTAAAGGACTCCTGGGAGGTCGCTTGGACTAGCTCAGTCGGCAGCGAATTCCAGCACTTGACAACTCTAACGGAGTAGAAGTTGTGTCTGCAGTCTGTTCTGCTATGTAGGGTCTCCAATTTCTGGGTGTTACCTCTGAGGTTAGTGTTATGACTAAGCTTAAGAAGTTGTTTAAGGGGATGAGCAGAAGTATTAAGGATACTATAAGTCATAAGAAGATCACCTCTAAGACGCCTATACTCTAACGGGTAAAGGTTAAGTGATTTGAGGCGCTCTTCATAAGGTTTGAATTTGAGACCCCGAACTGATTTCGTGACTCGACGTTGTATACGTTCCAGAGTGACCTTATCCTTTTGGAGGGAGGGAGGAAATACTATGTTTCCGTACTCTAAGTGGGGACGAATAAAACTGTTGAAGATTATATGGAAGGTTCTACCGTCAAACTGGCCGAAAATGCGCTTCAATGTTACCAGTGCAAGGTCAGCTTGAGAGGCGTTTTTGTCACAGTTCGCATACGATTTCAGGTCGTAGGGTACCAACACTCCCTAATCTCTTTCGACTTCGGAAACTTCTAGAGGGGAGTTACCTAAGTTCTAACTGTAGTCTGCAACATGTCTCAGATGGACTATCTTGCACTTTGAAGTGTTGAAGGTAAGTCCGTTGTCGTCTGCCCAACTTTGAAGTCGAGTCAGATCCTCCTGAAGAACCAGTATATCATTATGATTACGTATCTCTCTCCAAAGTTTCACATCATCAGCAAAAAGCAATAAGTCAGATGAAACTTGTTGAGGAAGATCGTTAATATAAATCAAGAAGAGAAGAGGTCCTAGTATTAAACCCTGGGGGACCCCACTAGGACATTCCATAGCCTGAGAGAGAGTGAAGTTAACCCTGACCTTAAAGTGTCGGTTTTCTAAATATGAAGAGAGCCAATCAATTAAAGGGGGTTTTATACCCAATCGTGCAAGCTTCTTGATAAGACATTTGTGGTTGACCCTATCAAAAGCTTTTGAGAAGTCCAGGTAGATGACGTCAACCTTCCCCTTGCGATCAATGATGGTTGTCCATCTATCCACCGCAGTCAGCAGGTTGGTCATACAAGAATGACCTTTTCTGAAACCATGCTGTTGAGGCGAGAACTTTGAGGATGATAAGTGTTCTAGTATGCCGTCGAATACTAGGGATTCCATAATTTTGGAAGGTATGGAGAAAAGGGCCACTGGTCGGTAGCTTGAGGGTTCACTGCGTCGACCTCCTTTGAAAATTGGCGTGATGTGGGCCAGCTTCTATATTTCCGGTAGTTTGCCTCTGCTTAGCGAGTGTGCAAACATCACGCTAAGTGGTGTCGCCAGGATTGAAGCTGCTTCCCTCAATACAGCGGAATGAACCATGTCCGGACCAGGAGAAGCGTCTTTTCTTAGGTTCTGCAGTTTACGGAGCACCAGGTTAGCACTCAGGTCCACTTCGGAAAGTCCTGTACAGGTGCAGGTGAAGCTTTCGTCAGTATGGTTGGTGCGGGTCAACTGGAATGTCCGGGAGTAATGTTCAGCCAAAAGGTTAGCGGCATCACTGTCGTTGTTGGTCGGGCCATTAGGACCAAGCAGTTGGGAAACTCCAGTTTTGCCTTGTCGAAGAGAAGCCGCATAACTGAACAAGCTTTTCGGATTGGAGACGAATCTATCGATAAGCTTGGTTTGGAACTGAAGCCTGTTTTCTCTTATTGCCTTTGTGCATATGTTCCTTATATGTTTGTATTGCCTGTACGCGCCGTTGTTATCAGTTCGTTTATATTCAGCCCAACAGTGCCTTTTGCGGCTTAGCAAACGACGAGTGCGGTTCTTGATGATTTCAGGTTGCTTGTAGCTTTTTGGGACCATTTTAGGAACTGAATGCTCAGTAGCACATAAGATCGTGTGCAGTAAAAAATCCCAATGAGCATCCACTTCAAGTTGAGGGTGAACATCCCAATCCACCTGTTGTAGATAGTCCTGTAAAGCTAACACATTCAACCGTTTGAAGTTCCAGCGCTTGTTGCTAGTAGGATATCGTAGCTCCGTCTTGCTGACAAAACTGAATGATAAGACGGCGTGATCACTTTTCCCCAGGGGAGCCAGGATTGAGAGGTCGTCAACTAGGAATTCTTCATTTGTGAATACCCAGTCTAAGCGTGACGGCGTCTGACGGTTTCTCCAACGGGTTGCCGACTTCACATTTTCGAATAATCCCAGGTCGCCGATAAGGTTGAAGAACAGAGCTTCAGTAGAGTTGGCACCACCAATGTATGTATGTTCCACGAAGTTGATTCTAGGGAGACTGAAATCCCCTAGAATCAGGATATGAGAGAATCCGAGACGCGTAGAGCGAGTTAATCCTTCCAGCAGACGTTTGTCATATTCGATGTCGGCAGTGGGCTTCCTGTAAACGACCCCAACTAGGCACCTCGAGGTGGTAGATAATCTTACTGAGCACCACACTGACTCGTCAAGATTGTGAAACTCTTGGTTGTGAAGTTGGTGCGCATCCAGGCATGACCGTACGTATAGTGCTACCTCACCCCCCATTCCTGTTTTTCTGTCGTTGCGAAATAAAAACATCCCAGTTATTGCTAACTCTTGGTCCGTAAACTGAGACGTTATCCAAGTTTCGGATATTCCTATCAGATGGGCATCATTAGCGTTGCTAAGTTCACGTAGCTCATCCATTTTGTTTGGCAAGCTCGCGGCGTTCGTATATAGGCAGTTTATGCTTTCAATTTGGAACGCGTGAGCCTTTTCTTGTTTGTCTATATGAGCCGTGTGTGAGTGGACAGGTAGCCTACCTATACGATGTTTACCGAGTTGGTAGTCCCTATCCTTTACACGTTTTTTTTTATGATCAAGACAGTCCACGAGTGGAATTGTCAGCTCCAGCTTTCGTTTGTGCTTGATCCTGCTGTCGTGGGGCCTATCCGGATGCATATGGATGCCAGTTGGCAACCAACGTCTATTGGCACGAAATGCTTCCAGAGTTGCAGCCGCCATGTGGGAGGAGGGGGAGGTTATCTTCAGAAGCCGGGGCCTAGAGTCTCCGTCTCTCTTGGCCAGTCTCATTACCTGTTGGGTCAATATGTTCTTGAGTTTTAAGGAATGCTTGATGAATTTCCATTCCCGAATATCAGAGTTTGCTTGAGTTGGGTCCATATTTTCCGGCACACCTTGCACAATGATATTTCGTCCACGGAAAAACGCCTCGCGAGATTCCTTAGGGATGTTCCGGATGGGATGTCGTTCAGAATACGGTATGTCGGGCAGTATTCTTACGTTCCCATCGAACTTCAGTAAATGACTGGCTAGCAGGACGTCCTCTACGTCGGAGGCATTCTTAAGTGTAACACGAAGCAGCCTCGGGTGGTTTAGGTGGTTAGAATCCTTCCCCCGAGTGAGCCGTGTGACGGTCAAAGGCTCTATTCTAGGGAGTTCAAGCCTCTTGTTTAATTCTCCCCAGAGCATCCTATCGTTTTTGTCCTGCAAACTGAGAGGAAGGTCGGGGTTGTCAATAAGGTTCATGATTATGACAGAGTCGTCACGAACCGCAATTGATTTCCCAGGTTTTCCAGGGCGTCTAGGTTTGGTATCTTGTTGTTTGGATGTCGAGGCGCGTTTTCGATTCCTGGGCTCAGTGATGACCGGGCGGACAGTCTTGGGTATAGACTGTGCGGCCATAGCATCAATTGATTTCCGCACGATACTTGGGACGTTCAGTTTCGGATGGGACGCTTGGGCTTTATTACTCCTGTTAACGTGAGTCCATCCACCTACAGGATTTTTGGGAACCACTGTCTCATTCAAGGACTGTTCCCTGGGGGACCCAAGTTTACTGAGGGAGTCGATGACAGTCGATGTTAAGACGGTGCTGAGTTTCAGCACATCATCACTCGTGCTGTTAACAGCACCGTCGATAACCGACCTGTCAGTATCCTTTTTCTTATTTGCCCTATGCGTTCCAGCTTTGTTACCCGTCATGATGCTATCATTTACCGAATACTTAGACAACTTATCTCTCAGACCTGTCAGTAAAGTAATGATAGTACCCAACATAACTACCGTATCGGTGTTGCAGGTAACACATACCCACCTACGATCAGACTTGCTGAGTCTGCTATAGGCTGCTGCTGTTAGATCTGTACATGCCTCATGGAACCAACCTTTACAGTTGTCACATTGCATGCCAGATGTAACGGCAACCAGGTCTCTTGCATGAATTTTTCATGGCTAGTGATTTAGACTGTCTTAAAAAATGCAAGCAGTAAATTTAGGACCGTTAAAAAACACACAGTAAACAAAAACTGGCAAAAATGTATAAAAACGGCGAGACTAAAGAACATGGACGAGCCAATCAGAAGCTTTCGCGTGTTTTCAAGTTCACAGCGCTAAGTTCGGTACCTGACGCTTACGTACGGTCAGTTTACAAAGGATTTTAGAGAAAACATGATAATTAAGCGACTACAAGATATGTTACCATTAGGTTTTGGCGCAAAATTCAATTATATATTTGGATTGAGTTGTGGCATTATAGCTGATGTCAGTTCGTGATGAAAACCCTAAGTAAAATTCATAACCTTAACCATGAACTGTAAATCATAATTTGAATTCTTCACACGGGTTTATAACCCTCATTTAGTCTTAGTTATTATGTTGACACTCTCAGATTCACTCTAGCGTCGCTCAAATGTCGTCCATTATTTATAGTCTCATCTTTAACCCTAAACCTTAACCCTAATCCTAAACCCTAAACCATAACAACATACCGACAACACTGAAACTATGTGGTTGAGGCTGAAAGAATTTTCGGGACTTTATCATGGTTCCAGATGTCGACAAATATGGAGCCTCAGGGATGAGTTCCTGTGCCGGATGCACTATGATTTTAGAACTTCTGAACCTATATCTGACCTTGATAAGTTTTTGATACATGTAAAAGAACAGTATCCCCTTTAATTTTTGAGTTTTGTATAATATATTTTTATTATATGCTAACTGTTTACTGATTGGCCAATATTTCTCAAGGTCATTTAAGATTCGTTCAAAGGTCGTCCATGTTCTTTAGTCTCGCCATAAAAACAGTTACCGATAAGCTAAAGCTAGCCTTTACGTGAAAACTATAAAAAAAACCGATAGAGCTGAGGCAAAACCACAGTTAACTATTAATTTGAGTGAAACACAAAAAAGAAGTAATCTACCGAACGTATAGCTCAGAATAGATTCTTTGGATTGGAAATGATACTTTTGTTGCGTAAGAACACAGCAAAAGTTTGAGAAATGTAAATCACGTTAGGACTAAACTTCCCGTTCGAATAGCGCGCTTTTGGTGCAGAGACGACAGTATAGATTAGTCGAGAGGCTGTAACTGATAGCCTAAATTGCAGCGTGGAAAGAAGCCAGCTCGAATTTTCCACATCTAACATCACTAGACGTTTATCTAATTAAGAGGGATTATTTAAAGTTTCCGTATAATGTTTAGGATTTTTATGGACAAATAACTATGAACATGTATTCACATACATCAAGTAAAACATAATAATGTACTTAGCCCAGCACAGATAAGGAAATTTGAATAATACTTACTTAAATGAAGCTAAATAATATGATGTCGAAAGGACGAAAACTAAGATCGTTTAATGTTTGCGCGTAAAGATTACGTTTTCAAACCTCAATGAAGAGAATTATTGAAATAAATATTTCTTGTAATCTGTGCTCAAATATATGTTGTGATTTGCAGATCTGATAAAGAATAAATCCTTGTTTTAGAATATTTAGGAACTTGATATATATGAGGATCCTAAAATAGAGCTGAACTGGGCAGATATACTACAAGTAGTAGGAGTTGGGCAACTCTGTTACCAGTAACACCTTTATAATCGATGTGTGCCAACCCAGTCAGTTCAGTAGTCAGACTTTAGGAAGTCCGATGTTATATTTGAAAGGTTATCGATATCTCGTGAAGTGTTTGATCCAAGATGTCTAACGGTTGTAGAGGATGCCTAGCACTGAGTACCCACTCGTGATCTGTTGCGGATGTATGGCCAAGCGCCTTCAGCTTGGTGTTTCCAGTAGAACTAATGAGGTGGGCATCAATGCCAAAGACTTATAGAACTATTTATTTAGAGCACAAAACAACGCACTGCACAAGAAGGTTAAGGTTTAAGCATACTTAAACGACTACTCAGTGTAAGATACTGTATAACACTTTGTTTTATCTTGTTTGTTGGTGATGTCATGTGACAAAAACAAAGGCAAACATTTTTTTGTAATATGCCCAATACGTGAGTATATTCTTTCCTAAAAGTCAAAGTAGCCATTGTTCGAAGAATGTTTCTACACATGTTATCAAAACGTATGTATACAAGTTTATTTCGCTTTTTTCACCCGTTTTGTGCCCTTATGCAAGTACGAGTGCATTTCGACATGCGCTTGCAGTTCATTTCCTCTTCTGTTTCAAGAGGACTAGAAAAGATAAGAAACCAACGAAGAATACAAGGAATATAACTTTGAACCTCTCCAATTCTGACTTCTGATTTCACTGGGTTGGCATACATCGATTATGAAGGTGTTACTGATAAAGGCGTTGTCAAACCTTAATACATGTAGCATGTTCGAATCATTTGGAGGAATTTGTTCCAAATTTCCCTCCTTAGAATAATGATTTTTCAATTTATAGTGTTATTAGTATGCTTATTTTTTATCAAGACTTGAATCTGTCAAATGTTCACCCAATACGTTACTACAACGAATCGCAACTTTAGAGAAGTTGTGAATATGAGCCGAATTTCAACATAAAAAGCCAGACGGCTCTCACAGTCAGCTCTTCACTCTGGATAAGAAAATATCTACGGATTATTTTCATGGTCAGTAGAACAACGGTCCTATTAAGTCTTTGTATGGTAAGAAGAGAGACTGGCCTGGTACTCCATTAGGTAATAATAAAATTATGTTTATTTGTGTTTGATGGAATCTTAACTATTAAGATCCCTAGCCTAAAAGGGAATGATATTTAAGTGTCAACTATCTTTACAACTAGTTGTCAAAAAGTATCCATTTTTGAGGGGAACATAAGTACTTGAGATGTTCAAGATTATATCAGTCTTCAGTAGTACGGATAGTATGTTGAGGAACCTGTGTTAATCGTTACAGATTGCCTTCCAATGAAGGTCTAGCTTCTCCTTTAAAATTTTCACTGATATGGCTGATACCACTTGTTCAGGTAATGCGTTCCAGTCATTGACCACTCGATGATAAAATCGGGACCCCACATTTAGTTTATTAGATCGCGGTTTCTGACCCTTCTTGCCATGACCTCGAAGATTATTAGTGCTGGAGGGAGCAAAATGATAATACATACTGACACCCAAATCATAATTAAAGATACGAAATGCCAGTATTAGGTCACCTCGTTACCTACGATAAGATAAGGGGAAAAGGTTTAGACGTTTCAAACGCTCATCGTAAGGGAGTTTAGAAAGGCCCTTACCTAGTTTTGTCCCCACACGCTGGACACACTCAAGTGATTCAGCATTCTTTATCAGACATGGGCTTGCTGCTTGGATATAGTACTCTTAGTGTGGCCTTACATAGGTGGGATATAAAATTCGAAACATCTCGTCAAAGCATTTAAATGCTCTGCGAAGCGACCATAGCGCGCGATAGCCTTTGGAAGCAACCGCATTGCAGTGCATAGTAGTTTTCAAGTCGTGACTTATAGTCACTCCTAAGTCTTTATGTTTTTGAACGCGTGGAAGAGATGTACCATTAATGGTATAATGGTAACTATTACCGTGTATGAGCAGGCTGTCCCTGGAATTAACTTCCAAGCCCTAATCATGGGCCAATCTAACTAATTCATCTAAATCAGCTTGCAGATGACAACGATCAGCCTCACTTCTTATTGTTCTCCAGATTTTAACATCATTCGCAAACAATAATGTGGACGACTTAAGTAATAAAGGTAATTCATTAACATACAGAAGGAAAAGTAAAGGGCCTATTTCCATTCAGATAGCGTTCCATTGACCCTCACTCTCTGTCTGCCGTCACATAAGAAGCTTCCTATCCATTTCTGTATAGCACCTGTTATTCCTAAGCTCGAGAGATTCTGCATAAGACCAAAGTGTGAAACCTTGTCAAACGCTTTGCTAAAATCTATTAATATCATGTAGACAGACAGTTTGTTGTCTAGGGCAGCTATCCAATCCCCTCTCTCAATGAGTAAGTTAGTTAAGCATGAACGCTTGTTACGAAACCCATGTTGCTCAGGAGTTAACAGATTGTACGAATCTATGTGGCTTAGCAGCTTAGCTCGAATTAATTTTTCAAGTAACTTAACTACTATACTGGTCAGGCTAACAGGCCGGTAGTTAGATACGATCCATCTCTGACCATTCTTAAATATAGGACTAACTATGGCGTCTTTCCAGTCTCTAGATAGTTGGGTGAGTGAAAGGGACATGTTGAAGAGCGTCGTGAGCGGTCTTGAGATAATGTGCGCAAGCGATGACAACAAACGTGGATGTAACCCATCGGGGCCCGTTATCTTACAAGGTTTGAGGGTTAGTTAACAAAGGACGAACAATATCCTCGGTCACGTGTATAGGTCCTATGGCTGGTATCTCGTTGTCAATGGGACAAGTAGTTGTAACACTACACGTGGAGTAGACTTCACTGAAATAGTTTGCAAATGTCTCAGTTTTTGCTAGATCAGATTCAGCTAGTAAATCTGAATTTTCATTTAACAGTAACGCGGGGATACCATCACTACGTTTCGTCCGCCTTTTAACGTACGAAAACAGTCGCTTCTGACAGGTACGGCTATCGTATGCCAACTGTCCTTCGTAAGCGGTACGGGATTTATCTATAATCTTTTTACATATATTCCGGGTTTTTTATATTTGCACCTAAATGATGCCTGTTCTGTTGACAAGAATAAGTCCCAGAAGCGTTTCTACGCTTTAACAATTTCCGAGTTTCCTTATTAATCCATGGAGGGCAATGTGATAACTTACGTGCTGACCATGGGATAAACGGTTGAATTACGGATTTGAACGTAACCTTAAACCTACTCCATGCGTCTTCGATCGATCCATCAGCATCGACCGACCAGTTAATCGAGATAGCACAATCGCTGAGTATTAGCTCCCCAGATATTAGGACGGGGTGGAGCAGATGCAAATTCTATACCATGTATCCGGAAAGTACGATATGGTAACATTCAGTTTTAAATGTTCTTCTTAATCCGATAACTCCGAGATAAGTAACGACCGGTTTATCAACACTCACGTGAAAACCACCAGTTAATATAAGGATAAGATGACTAAGCAAGGGATCTTCACAGACAATAGGTATCGGCCTTTTAAAATCCCCACTCATTTTGTGGAATTTTGGTGGGAACATTCTCCTTTCCAAGATGTGTCGGAATCTGAACAGAAGTGATTGGGTAATATCCATTTGTGCAAACAAAATCATTAGAAGTATACTCTGCAGTTTGTTGATAATTCAGGGGAAATCGAGAAATAGGGAACATTAGTTTTTGGTCCAGAAATATTATCTGACTATCTCATACTACCAGATAGTTGAAGAAAGTTGACTTATTCTTCTAAAAGCCGTTTTAGTTCTGATGTAGGATTTTCTTTTGACGATTTAAACAATGTCTTGTTTTTTTTCGGAAGTTTTTAACTAGTGGCGCTATTGTGTGTAGGCGTCTATGAAACAGTGAGCATGGGAGAGTATATGGGGATGATGAACCCTTAGAAAAACTATGATTACATGACCAAAGAAAACTTCTGTCTGCTGTTCATTACAGGTGTGGCAAAATTGAAACCTGGATACGATGTAAATGAAATGAGAGTGAACCACTTAATTCAAGAGCCTGGCTATAAAGTGATAAGGAAACATCTTTTGATGTATTTTTGATGGGTCAAATTACGATGAAGGTTAATGCAATACACCGTATGGATAGATCATTAAATTCAGATGCCTCAAGCGTTCCTTGCTCTTAATCTGGAAGTTTGTTTCCATGAGATTTTTGAATTCGTGAGAGAACTAAATCCACCAGAATGACTGGTGCATAACATTTTTTCTGATACTTAAGAAGCGACGCGAATAGATGTCATAACATGAATGGGATACCACCTTGCATGAAAAGTGGACTCTTGTTATGTTCGTCTGTTCATAAGTCTAGTGAGACCAGGAATCGTCAAGTAGTTAGCTGAGAACTTAGTTTTAATGGTTAGACAATAATAGTTGATAGTATATATCCTACCTCAAAGTAACTGAGTGATAAATTTATTGAAGAATATATTAGATTTTAGAGAAAAGCTCATTGACGTCTGATATTATGGAATTTTAATAAGTTTTGAACAGATCTAACAGATCTACTGAATTATTATAAGAAGCGACGCTTCTACACCAATGTAAAAGAACAAAAACCGATCACATCACAGCGTTTCTGTTCCAGTATAAATCAGGTTTGTAATTTCTAGAGAAATGAAGACGTGTAGTGGATGTCGAGTCGAAGACGGACTATGATCACCACTACAATTCGTTTACGCGCCCAAAAACGACTTGGTTCCTTTGTAAATCAGAAGGCTTTATTAGTCCAGATCAATTGTATTTATTGGCGATCTCGTGGTATCGAAATAATACCGAGACGTGCCAAAGAGTACAGGCGAACAGGCAGTGCGTGAGCAAGTTCGAACCAAACAAGGCGGAGAGCGAAAGCAGAAGTGAAACTAATACAGTTAAACAAATACAGTAAAACAATCTCTGGTACAATTGGTTACAATAATAATAATTGTTTCCGTTATTCCAATCGTGTTCTTATCGAGACTGGCCGGTCACTACAGACGTGTGCTTGATGATGCAGCCACGAATTCCACTGCAGCATGGCGGTAAATAGATATGTAAGAGTATTTTACTGAAAAATAGCAGTTGTTGCACTGTTTTCTGCGATGCAGTTCATAACGGCGCGCGACTGAATATAATGGATTCTTGTGTGGAGTGCCATTAAAAGTGCACTACAGTAGATGAATGACTTACCAATTTTAAAACTATGATTCGGATGCTGAGTATAAGTTGAGGATGCCTATAATTTAGCAACTATACTATAATGAGATGTGAATATGATCCAACATAGATCACACTTTACACTCTTGTACAAATCTTTTAGACTGGTGAATCATGTAGACACAAGTTATGACATGTTATAGAGTAGATTTCTTGAAAACTCAAAGACAAAATGATGGGACTGTTTTAAGGATCTGGTTAGGGTTGGGATTGCAGGGTTGCAGAAATAGATTTTGTGATTCTCCTTCTTCAGCAAGTATCTGGATTTCCATTGGACTGTTGTGCGTGCACTTTCCTCACTGCATTTCATTGTTCACAGAAAAGTGCCACATAAAGGCCTCTTTTGCTCATTTGTAAAATAAAACGATCAGAAAACTATCGAAGTTTGAGTAAAGCACTTAAAAACAGTGAACTATATGTTTAATCAATGGTAGTTCGGCCAACTAAGAAGTCAGTCAAAGGTTAGTGGGATAAAGTGGTTTATTCGGATAAAAGGAAACCTGAAGATAATGAAACCCACAAGTATACTTAATAACAATAATGGCAAACAGAGCCATTAAGTTTAAAACCAAAACTAAACTACCCAGCTGAGATAACTAAATAACACCAAAGTAATCACAAAAGACTTAACTTCACAAGTTATGAACATTATCTATTCTGTTTTTCAGAGCTGTCATGGTACAACATGGAGAACATATGTATAGAACATATGACTTTTTTTAATACTCCTTAATTAATACCTCTAATATTCCGGAAAGATTTCTGGTTGCTTTTAGTAAAAGCTTGAAAAAATTTGTTATGTGGAGAACACTATCAAGAATTGCAATGTAATACGTTGAGGTTGACGTTTTTAAATGACCGGTTATACATTTACCTCATTACGCCTTGTTGTGAGTAGTCTTATATTTCAATCGCATTGATTTTTTAATCACCAATTTTTTGTTGTAATTCAGCTTCCATAAAAGGCGACAACTTTTACACTTAACATTTGTGTTTTGTCAACGTTATTCATATACTTATGTACGCGAATTCATCCCCCTGTTTCTATGGTCAGTGTTTCGTCACATATCAACCTGAGTGACGCATCATAGCAAATCCTGCAGCATTAATGACATTTTGATTTTGTCTATAAACTGACACACTTCGTGTAGCATATTATCATTCGAGAATAATTTATTATTATCAAGTACTATACATTGATTCAACAAACAATTAGTTCCATTACTAATTACAAAGCTCTTTAACTTGCTAGTTTTTATTTAAACACAAAACAGCATCGAATTTTTAAATACAACAAAGTCGAACAGATAACTTTATATTGAATGAATTAGTACAAGTGTAATTAATATAGTTAGTAATAAACGAAATTTATCCTACCTAAAGTGGTTAAATATAGGAAAGATGTTTTGATGATATTATGTTCGTCAGGACTTAGCATCCTATGAAGAGGCCAAATCAAAGAACTGGCAATGTAGATGGTTTATAGCTGAGCTATTGGATGCATCGATTCCATGCAGTCAACACATAAACTAGCAATGATCACAGAAAACTACAACCTTAATAATCCTCAGTAGCATGATCGTATTGAGGAATTAATGGTTTGGATAGGTTTCAGGATTATTTCACTGGCCCCACAGAGACCTCAGTGGAATCAGTTACAGTTAGGTCCGATACCAATTCATAAGGGGAATGAACACTTCAGGTCTTGATGAACTAAAAAAAGTCAAAAAAGATAGCAGAATCTGGTCGGAAAATAACGAGTCATAACAGTTTTAGACGGTTTAAGCCTACTCAAAATAATCCTTAAAACTATATTCCAGCTACTCTATGATAATATGTACTACAACTTCGAGAAATAGTTACAACAAAAATTAACTACCAAATATCAAAGAGATATATAGTGCGACACATAACACAAAGCTTTTGTACTCAAAACAGTACTATCTAACCCGTTAGAAGTTATCCCTATCGATAAGTGATATTGTTGATTGTATTACTGTAAATATGAATATTATTTAAGAGTGAAAATTCACTTCACATTACCAACCGTGTTCTACCAATATATGTATTGATTTCCAGCTACATTTTTACTAAGAGGTTAACTGAATGACCAGAAGTTTGTCTGTGGCAATCATAACTCGTATTTCAAGCATTTTTTAGGCCACATACGTTTTATTTAATTCTAGAGGGTTTGCTTAACACTGGTAACTGCCTAAGCGCAACAATCCTTGATGACACAAGTAACTGATACGATCTGTTTAAAATAGTGATATTTTGTATTTTAAAACTTCGGACAGACCTAATTAACTGAGAGTAGGTATATATCGGTTTATTCTGGAGAGACCAGCTATAGTCTCAGTATGCTGATGTATAATACAGCAGTTATTCACATTCGTATCCACACGCAAATGGTCAAAATTATTGGTACGTGTACGCCATTTGTAAGCATTAGGTTACAAGTCACGGTTGGATTGTCAACATATATGCTGGGAATGAAATATGGCGTAATTAACCACAATCGTTGACAAACTATGATAAAAAAAACGAATATTGTCGCAGAAAACAGGTTTATTTATTAGTGACAATACGTTTCAACCATTAGTATAACAAAGGCTGTTAGGCTAAAATGTCGTTGATGATTGTTTACGGTGAAAATAAGGAGTACAAATACTGTTCGGATTTTCATTAGTTTTGCTCAATGACTCTTTGCTCCAACCACCATTTATAAAAACATGGAATAGGACAACAACTGAAACCAAACCCACAAACGTAGAAATGTCGACTCAAAAGAGTGAAACGTTAGTATGATCAAAATATATCAAAGTTATTGACAGTTCAGCTCTATTGACATCAGACGTTATACATTTGAACGACCTTCAGTTTTTGCAGTCATCAAAGCCGGTAAACTACAAGTATGAGTGTCATAGTGTAGATCTGTCTCTTGAGAAGATTTTCATGGAATAGCAAACAGTGAGTGCTGCATATAAGATTGAAAATTAAACAAGGGTGAATATCAGAAGGAGAATGAGTTGTAATCAAAGGGTGTGTAACTTTAACTCATTCGTATGGTACTGTTGTGTACGTATTTTATTTTTGGAGTAAATCTGATGATATTCTTTTTATATTGCATAATATTGGTTGACCTTTTCAAAGTGATGATTTATGTGCATGATTATATGAGTTATCAGCCTTCCATTGAAACCAACAAATTTATGAGTTTATTAGTAAGAAAAGAGATAAAAGATACTATGAATTTATCTATAAATGTTAACGGTAGTCACAGAAGACCAACCTTACATTTGATG